TATAAAGAGGAATTGTTCAAATTTTATTTATAAATTTTTTTTATAATTCAATTTTTTTATTACTAACTAAATCTTTTCCAATAATTTTTTTAATATAAAATTCTAAATATACCATGTCGTTTATACTGTATTAAATCTGTCTAATGGCACAAATCCTATACTGATTTTTTAATTCACCAAAAGAGGAGAAATAATGAATATTATTTAATGTATCACTAGTCAAAAACTGATTTATCTTACAGATATCTTACAGATAACTTATAAATATTGGGTACCCAAAATGCAAAAAATCTGATATATATCAGGTACCCAATATGTATACTATAAAATTAAAAAATATAATTTATTAATTATCTCATTAACTAGTAATCATAAAATGATAAAATATAGTTCATTTAATTTGTCTTACTAAGGCGTATCGAATGGTACTAATTTCGCATTTCTAAGTGCAATAGATGTCAAGATATTTGACAAATTATTATTTTTTGTTTATTTTTTGCAATTTATCAAATATCTCAGCATCTATCATACCTAAAATGCAAAATTAGTACTATTCGATACACCTCAGTAAAACGAATCAAATGAGCTATATTTCATCATTTTATGATCACTAGATAGCAAGATAATTAATAAATTGTATTTTTTAATTTTATAGCATACATATTGGGTATCCGATATATAGCAGATTTTCTGCATTTTGGATATCCAATATTTATAAGATATCTGTAAGATATCTGTAAGATAAATCAGTTTTTGACCAGTATATGGGAGGAGTTGCCAAGAATTTTGAAGTTCTGTTGCCCGAAGGTTCATATTCATAATATTTATTTAATATATTTTAATAAATAAAACTTTCAATTCAACTAATTCATTTATTTGAATCAGAATAAACCACTATTTTAATACTTCAAGATTTATTAGTCAATGGTGTAGCTAAAAGTAAAGGACTCATTAAAAACTATTATGTAAATATTTGAACTATTACTAGATTTATGTTTATTATATTTCAAATGCTTATTTTAACTGATTAATTGCTTGATATTTAAAACTTTATTCTTTATCATAATGGAGTTTCTAAATGAGATTTATGGATATGTGAAGAGGAAAGATACTATACTCTATTTAGAACTAGATTTTGGGAAAGACAGGATAATTATAATAAAAACTTTTATAATTAATATTTGCATTTATAATATCATATTCTAAATTAATTTATTTTTTTAGAAATATATTATAATCTTAGGAAAAGAAGAAACTTACTTATGTATTTAAAAAAAATAATTAATTTATTTTTATATAATTATATATTTATATATGAGTAGTTAGGTTCAGTCTGTATCTTTCTTTTTTTGGGTTGTGAATTAATACTGATATGTATATCATATAGTCTGAATACTATTTTTTTATAAAATAATAGCAAATAAATATTAAATTTGTTCATCTTTAGAATTTTCTTTAATTTTTTTTATTAAAATTAAATAAATATTAAAATTTGCTTTACTTGATCATCTGATAATTTCATTAATAATAAATTTTAAATCATAATTAGTATATTTAATTATAAAAATAATATGCTTATATATATATTTTACTGAGAAGACAAGTTATTACAACATATATATGAAAAAATGATATTTAATGAGTTCTATAAGAAAATAAAACAATTAAAACAAGAAAATTATAAAAGATACATATATCAAAATCTAGGATTACCTTTAAAGTAGCAAGTGAACCTGTTTTCTGAAAGTAGTGTTTATTCTTCATAGGGTTAGTGCTTATGCTTAATGTAATTCTATATATAGGGTTATGCAATTTGATTTGACATTTGACATTCGATTTGAATTTGATTTGAATTTGCAAATTCAAATTAGCAAATTTGATTTGATTTAATTTAAAAATTCTTTAATTTGATTGGTCAATTTGACAGATATTTAATATTTGATTCAAATTTGATTCAAATTTGATTTAAACCTGATTTGATTTGACAAATTCAAATTAGCTTTATATTTGATTTAATTTGAGTTTGAGGAATCCTATCTACATATTGTTAAATGACCTCTTACTTTGCTCATAATTTATGATAACATATACTTTCTTAATTTATAAGATGAAATACTTTAAAGGAAGAAGCAAAAAATATATCCAATATTACAAATTTGCATATAAAATTTTTATAATTTTATTAATTATTAGTATTATTTATTTTATAATTAGTTATATTTATATTTTAATAATATTTTAAATTATTAGATTCTGTATTGTATAGATTTTTAATTACTGAAATTTTATATAAATAATAAATATCATTATAATTTGTAAAAATTTAATATATTTGTTATAATGCAATATATCTATTAAAATTGTCAAAATATAATATATCTATCATAATACAATACATCTGTTAAAATAATTATAGTTATGTTAATTTAGATTTAACATGGCTGATGAAATATTTTAGTAATCTAAGATTTAATTTGTGAGAAAGTATAAATTCTACTATAATAATAATATATTAGTAAATCTTATTCCTATATATATATTTTGGATCTTGCTAGATAATTTTGAATTAACTCATATTTACTAATAAGTTTTAACAAATTAAATCAAATTTAAAAAGTTAAAAATTAGTTTTTTTACAAATATTTTACTATTTAGTAGTTTAATTTAATTAATTTTTTTTAAATGTAATTTTAAATAAACTTTATAAAATAAAAAAAGTTGATATAAATCAAATTATTAGATAGATAATTACATTAATTTTAGTATAAAATAATTATAAGTTATATATTAGTTTTCTAAAGTTTTAAATTTATAATAAAAAATACTAAAAAAAAATAAAAAGAATAAAAAATATTAAAAAGATAGAAATAATAAAAAAATATCTAAAGAACAAAAAGTAATAAAAATTATTTAAAAAAAATATAAAATATTAAAAAAAAAGAAAAATATATAGTATAATTAATTTTTTTTTAGAAATTAATAGATTTTATAATAAATATAATATTTTTAAGAAAATTTTAAAGTTTATACAGGATGTCTGAATATGGATCATGTGATTTTTTACTATATGATAATTTATCACCCCTGTATCACACCTTCTGTTTTCATTTTTTCTATTTATTTTAGGGACTTAGAATTTTTTCAAGATGTGAAATCCTATTTATTACATTTTATTTATCATATTCCTAATTTTGGCCGGATTTCATAATGCCAACTGGAATATCTTTTTTTGGAATATTATCCTATATTATACAATCCAAAAAAGGTAATTTTATTTCTCTCAAAAATCAAAATTTGGGTTATATTAATTTTCCAAAAAGGCAATTTCATTGCAGATTATTTAATTCTGGCCAGAATTATGACCTCATGTTCAGACATCCCTGCTGTGTACAAATAGAAATTTTAAAATATTTTTCAGAAATATAAATAAATAGAATAATTATATTTGAAAATTGCTAAATATCATCTAGGTGATTGTCACCTAAGTATTCATTATCTGGATGATCATTATCTGGATTTTTTTTTTTGAATATGATACATAATTTATAATAAAGTGTTTTTATCTTTCAGAATGGAAAAAATAGACCTACAGAGTCTAGGCAAATTAAACTAAACCTCCAACTTTTTTTTAAATAAAAAAAAATTTAAACTTTTAAGTTTTTTTTAATTTAAAAAATTTTTACATTTTTATTTATGTAAGGAAACTTTATTTGTTATTGATTTAAAAAGATTACATGTTTACTATTAATTAAATAAAAAAGATATTATTGAACTCATTTATTAAAAGTCAAGATTTATATTCATTTTTTAATAGAAATATACTGATAAAAATCAGAAACAGCAATAAAAAAATAAAAATGTAAAAAGTAATAATAAAAACAAAAAGGTAAATAAAAAAAATAAGGGAAGATGAAAGAAAAACAAAATAAACAATGAAAAATGGAATAAAAGAGGGAAACAAGAATGAAAGAAAGAAATGATAGAAGAGAGATAAAAAAAAGAATGTATAAATGGAAATGAAAAAAGAAGTAAATAAATGAAAGGGGTGAAGAAAGGAACAAAGAAAGAGGAAGTGAAATAAAGAAATGATGAAAGAAAAATGAAACAAGGAATATTCGAAAGAGGAATGAAATGAACGAAAGGNAAAACAAAAAAAAATGAAAGGGAATGAATAAAAAATAATAAAAGAAAAAGGGTGAACAAAAGAAATAAGAGAAGAAAATAGGAATAAAAAAAAAATGAAAAAAATGGAATAAGAATGAGAAAATAGGTTAAAGAAATGGGCGAAAAAATAGAATGAAAAAATGTGATAAAAAAGAACAAAAATGAAAAAAAATTAAAAGAAATGAAAAGAATAATACAGGATGAAAAGAATAATAGGGGATGAAAAGAAAATAATAAAAATGGGATGAAAGATGAAATGAAAAGTTATTAAAATAATGAAGAGAAGATAATTAGGAGGAGAAAATGAAGGGACCAACCGACCAAATGAAAAGTAAAACCCATAAAATAAAAAAGAAATTAAATTAGTAAGAAATGTAATGAAATTAATAATCAAAAATAAAAAAACATACCTTAATACAAAGAAAAAAAAAAGAGCAAAAGACTTAAAAATAAAAAATAAAATAAAGTTAATAAGAAGTAATGGAATATAAGGAACAAAATATAAGAATAAAATAAAAAAATAAAAACTTAAAAGAAACATGAAATAACAGACTTTAATTGCAAAATTAAGAAAGTAAAAGGATCTAAAGAAATGAAATAAAGTTAGTAAAGAACAAATGTAAAAAATAATATAAAGAAAAAGAAAGAAAAAACATACCTTTATTGCAAGCTGAGGTGTTGAGCAAGTGAGCAAGAAAAATATAAAAACACAAAATGATAAATAAAATAAATATTTTATTCAAAATCATAATGCGTTTTTGTGTTATTGTATAATGTATCTTTAATTTACATGACTTTGTGATTATGAAATGATGAAAAAAATTGAAAAAATTAAAGGTCCAGTATAGGAATTGAACCTGCGTTTCTAACATAAAAAAAATTATTTAGTGTTCTAACCACTAAACTAACTGAGCAAATCTAATAATTATTAATAAATAATAGTTATATTTATATATTATAAATCATGTAACATATTTGAAAAAAAAATCCAGGTGATAATCACCTAGGTGATGTTTAGCAATTCCCATTATATTTTTAATATTTTTAATTTTCTAAATTAAACTTATAAAAAAAAAAGAAAATATTTAATTAAACATTTTATAATAAAGAAAAAAAATAAAAAAATAAAGTTCAAAATGAAATAATTTGTTATGAAACTTATATATTGAATTTTTAGAACTAAAATATTTAAAAGCAATTTATAAAAAAAATTAAAATGTTTTAAAATTTATATTTTTGAATTTTTAGAACTAAAATGCAAATTTATACATTTAATTAAAAATAAAAAAATAAAATACAAAATAAAATAATTTGTTACAAAATTTATATTTCTGAATTTTTAAAACTAAAATACTAAATTTATAAAAAAAAAAAAAAATATTTAATTAGAATATTTTAAAATAAAGAAAAAATAAAAATTTATAACTAACATTATAAAATTTATTTTTGATTTTTTCAATTTTTAGAATTAAATCTACAAAAAAAATGTTTAATAAGAATATTTTATAATAAAAAAATAAAATTTTACAAGATATATTATATAATTCTAATAATAAGCATTCCATTTTTGCATATAATACTAGCTAATAAGCTATAGATATTACTCAAATTCAAATTTCAAAATCCAAAATCCAAATTACTAAATACCAAAATCCAAAATCCAAATCCCAAATTTTTTAATCCCAAATTATTTGGAATTTGGATAGTATGTATAGGCTAAGCTTATTATAATATGAGCTAAAATCATTATAATTTAAGTTCAGGATGTTTATTTTCAAAGGGAGGCTAATTATTGGAATTATATAGTAAAAATATTGCAAAACTTAAATCTGAATCTATGATTCAAATTAGATTAAATCTGTCTTTAAATCTAACTTTATATTTAAATTTAAAATTTATTTGATCTGCAAATCATAATTTATTAAATTAAATTAGAAATGGTTTATTTATTAAATTTTAATAAATAGGTAAGTTCATTTTAAATTATATTTTGTATTTCAAAATTCATTGAAATTAAAATAATTAGTACTATTTATATTTTACAACGTAACTTTTGTAAGATATGTAGGACAAACGGATATCAATTTGCGTAATAGTATATAGTTATATAGTCCATTGTTTATTTAGATTTCTTTATATTTTAAGTTAAATATATATCTTGTGAACTAGATCTAGTTGCAGAATTTTTCTATACAAAAAAATTATTTTCCTTCGTTCTTTTTTGTTGAAAAAAAAGAAAAATTTTCATGGATGACAACTTAGATTTGGATTGTATATATAACGAAGCTAAAAAAAAAAGATTTTTGCCTGGGACGGTTTCATTTAGCAACTTCAATTCCAATTTCCAAAATTAAACAATTACCCAGTATTTTGCCCTATATTGTAAATCAAATACTTGAAATAATTATGCAATATTGTTAAGTCCTATTTATTAATTAACAATAAGTCAATAATTTATAATAAAATTAATTATGAAAAAACAAAGAACAGAAAAAGAATAATCTATAATCTCACAAAAAACTACGATAACCAGTCTTCAAAATAAATTATCATACGGAAAATAAAAATAATCGTACAAAAATTAAATATGAAACGAAAATATTCTATAAACCAAAATTTTAAAATAATTGCTCAATTCATTTATTTTGATCCTTTACCCTTTTTAATCAACCATTGCAAAGTTATATCAATATTTACTTGATTCTTTGCAGAGATTGAATAACAAGAAACTTCTCGATTATTGATGGATTTCAAATTCCTATAAAATAAATAAAATATATATCAAAATCATAATTATAATCTATATTTCAAAAAAAGTAATCGCTTACATTTCTTCAACAAGTTTTTCAACAGGCAAAGCTTCATCTAAGTCATTTTTATTTCCCAAAACTAAAACTGGAATGTTTGCAAGTTGAGGTTTTTCCAAAAGATTGCGTAATTCTGTCCTTGCTGCCTCTAGTTTCTCATGATCAGCAGAGTCAACTACAAATCTATTAAATAAAAAAAAAATTATAATATCACCCAGAGAATTTTTACAAACAAAGTAATTCTATCGATTGTACTCACACAATAGCATTTACGCCACGGCAATATCGTTCCCACATACTTCGGAAACGTGGCTGTCCACCAATATCCCATAATTTCATGGTAACACTTCCTTTTGTGACTTTACGCATGTTAAAACCTACTGTTGGAATCATATCTTCACTGAATTGACCAGACTAATAATAATAAAAAAAAATTTACCACCAAGTTCTACCAAATGATTATATGAACTTAAAAACTTGAATGATACTTACAGCAATAACATTAACCAATGTAGTTTTACCACTGTTCTGCAAGCCAACTAGAGTAAGCTCTAGTTCGGTCTTTATTCATTTATTATGACACAATTATCGATCGTGGTTAGTATGAATCAATTAAAATTTTCGGTCACAAATCTATTGTGTTGGAATATACAATAATACGAGAGGTTCAAATACCTTAAAAAATAAACTCCTGAGCCAATCTAAGAACGATTTCAATATAGAAGCCATTATAAATTAGTAAAGACTTTTACCAAAAAATTTGAAAGAGTGAAAATTGAAAGTGAAAAAAAAAGTGATATCAATTTATTTACATGTCTCAGATTATAAGTTTCAATTACTGTATGCAAACACTACGTAAATAAGGTCAAAGAACTGATCGACAGATCAACAATCTGAGAAGGATCACGTGTTATGACTTATGACCAGGGATCCGTAAATATTATTTCGATTTAGAAGAAAAATTTCTTTCGATTTGGACAAAAAATTTTGATTTCTTTCGAAAAATTGCTTTCGAAAATTTTACGGGTCCCTGCTTATGACCCACCAAAAATTTACCATCACATGACATGCATTTATTTATCACGCCGCATATATTTTTATTAAGTATACTGATTTAGCTATTATTCCAGATGTATTAACTTCTTGCTTACAACCATTTGATGTATTATTAAATAAACCTTTTAAAGCTAAGATATTTTTATTTATTTGATTTTTTTAATATTTTTAATATATTAAATTACATTAACTTGTTTGAAATACACTATACCCAGATTACTAACTCTGCTCGTCCTGATATTCCTTCTTTTTCTCAGTCCTATAACAAAAAAGTTCATCACTATATGAATTCTATTGCATATAATGAATTCAATCATTCAATTGACAACTATTCTACCTATTTTTGTTAAGCTGCTATAAAAGGATATTCTGTAGTAAAGAACTTTATTGAACAGGAAGTTCATAAAGAGGGCTTATACTTTATATAAAATCTATAATCTGAAAGAAAAGGTGACTTGCATGTATAGTAAGAATATTATTAATTTTATTAATAGTAATGATAGATCAGGATATAATGACAATTTTAATTATAGTAAAGATTGTAATAATAATAGTAGTAATAATAATTTAAATAGCAACTTAAATAAGGATATAGACTTAGATGTTAATCTTATTAATATAGATAATTACTTAGTATGTCAAAGTTTAGATCCATTATTCAGATTTTATAGATATCTTACAAATATCCTGAATTTTATTCATTCAGATCAGATATAAATTTATCTAGATAATATTCAGATTATCCGGATAATATCTGAATACCTGCATTATTTAACAATTATTTGAAAATATCTGGATACTCTGTTAGACATTTAACAAATTTAACATTATGATGCATGTAAAATAAATAAATTAAAAAATAATTTAAATTCCTTATAATCAAAAAGAGGGCATCTCTCTCTGCTAATCCCTATGCCTATTTCTCTGAAAAAGTTTTGAAAAGAAAAGTTGATCTTTTTGCCATTTTGCACTAAAAAAATAGTCTTTTAGTTTTAGAAAATTGTTTTACATTACTGAAGTTAACTAAAAAGTTTAGAAAATTTGGAATATAGTCTTCAACTTATCAAGTTTCTTTACAAATCAGATTTACGATAACTTTCAATCTTCTATGTCTTTCTCTAAGTTGATACCTAAAAGGTCATTTGATATTCTAAAGTACTTTTTATAAGTATAAGATGAATGAGTTAGACTTGAGGCTGCTTTTGGTGGATCCAAAAGTGGCCTAATTATATTTGCCGTCAGAATTAATTATGGCATATGAAGCTTATATTGTAATACATTAAATTGCCATAATGCTATAATTATTTAATGACAAAAATACAAAAATTATATAAAAAAAGTAAAACTTTTTTTCTGGATATATTGTAGATAATTTGTAATCCATAAATCTATAATGCTGTTTTTGATATTTTGTTAAATATCTAAGTAGTAAAATCCATATTTCGTAATGCTATAATTTTAATTTAGCAATTCTGATGGTACCTATAAGTCTAGCGTGAAAATATTTTGGAAGTAAAAAACTTTTCGCAGAATTGGCGCATGGGTTTGATATAGCAGAAAGAATATTTTCTGGTATATAAGTTTAGTAAAAAATCCCTTTTTAAATATTTTAATAATCATTTTTGGTGATAGAAAAATAGAAAAACATCAAGTTTTTGAAACTTGTGAAAGCAAATATCTGAATCAGCTGAGAATAATATTGATAGAGAAGTATAGTTATTCTGGAATTTCCTTATTCTAGTTATATTTCTGCTAAATTAGACTTTTATTAGTACTTTAAGTAAGAAGTATCTGAAAATTTGATTGATAACTGATCACCTGTTGGTGATTGGTTTCCTTATTATTACACTTTCCTGATTTTGTTTCACAGATGATCCCTATTTTTGCTCGACATAATGAGTAGCTATTAGAAAAATTAAAAAAGTATAAAAGGTATAAAAAACTTAGTATAAAGATCAGTTTATGTTTATATAGATACTTGGAAGAAGTAGTTATAGTATTGGGTATTATTTTTTGTAATAGGTATTAAGGATAAAGATTTCTAAAAAAGG